TCTCCATGATGTTTCTATTTATCAGAGTACTGGTAGTGCTTTGCCTGAGAATATTAAGCAACAGCAATATAGTGTTATCAGTTATAATTTCAGTTAGTGTTATAAACTTTTACTGGACCACAACTTACATCTTATGAATTTGAATCTAGCATCTCAAGGCCAGTGCTTTTTAATTGAGGATGCACATCAAACTTAATTATGGAGTTCCATTAAAATATAGTTTTTTGTACCTCTTCCAGCCTTAATGAATCTCTTTATTTGATATTGTTCATATTCTATCAACATGTTTCTCCCTGAATGTTTGATATATTCATAGTATAGAATGTACATTGTATCTCTGTATTACTATATGCTATATCTTAAGTTTTTTTTCTTTATAAAAGTTATTTTCATTAATTTTTTTGTAAATCAGATGTAATATTCACTATCTTTGCTGAAAATAGGCTCAATAATTATCCTTACAGATATTTCGTCTATAACTTTGGGAATTGGCTTTATTATTGGGATTGTCTCTGATATCATACATTTGGGCCCATTGGTTTGTCATCTAGCAAAAAGGATCAGCAGATAATTAAATTCAAGAAAGAAAAAAAGTTAGGGGTCTCTGACTCAAGAACTGAAACCCTAAGTACTTTAGATGACTTCTGGATTTCTTTTTTCTCCCCTCAGCCCTCCTAAGTTCATGCTTTATAGGAGGTCTAGAAAGTAGAGCAAATCCTACATGCTGTGGTTCAGAGAATAGCAAGTAGTTTTGACAATGCTACTGCAACAGGCTGAATTGTATCCCCCTAATGATATTATTTCCACGTCATCATCCCTGGAACATGTGACAATTACTTAATATGGCAAAAGAGTGAATGTTACTGTAAATGGCAAACAAAAAAACATGTGAGTAAGAATTTTGAGAGAAGGACCTGATCCTGGATTATCTAGGTGGGCCCTAAATCCAAAGACAGGTGTCCTTATAAAAGTGAGGCAGAGGGAGATTTGACAGAGACAGAAGGTAATGTGAAGATGAAGGCTGAGATTGGAGTGATGGAGCTACAAGCCCAGTGCATCCCCCAGAAGCTGGAAGAAGCAAGGAACATTTCATCTCTAGAGTTCCCAGAGCAAGTGTGGTCCTGACAGATTTTAGATTTCTAGACTCCAGAACTGTTGTGAGAATAAATGTCTTTCGTTTTAAGCCACCATATTTACAGCAATTTGTTACAGCAGCCTTAGGAAACTAACATAGCCACCAAGACTATAGAACTTTTTTTTAAGTTTATTTATTTATTTTTTTGAGAGAGAGAGTGGGGGAGGGGCAGAGATAGAGAGGAAGAGAGACTATCCCAAGCAAGCTCCACACTGTCAGTGCAGGGCCTGATGCAGGGCTCGAACCCACAAACTGTGAGATTATGACCTGAGCTGAAATTAGGAATCAGATGCTTATTTGACTGAGCCATCCAGGCACCCCAAGACTATAGAACTTTTTGATCCAAAAGTTCATGAAATTGAACAGGTGGTGGTTCAGAATAGAGCTGCTTAGATATAAGACTGGTTTCTTGAGGAAGAGTGTGGGCAATTTTAACAGTAGAATTTTGTGTTTATATCCCTGCAGACCTCTCTGAGATATTTGATACTACTAAAAATATAGGAAATAAACCAAAAAATCAGAAATTGCATAATTTGGAGAACAATCTCATACCTGCTTTGACAGACTCTTTCGATTGGGGCCGAGATCTATTCACTTGGTGTAATACGGGCACTTGGCTTTCCTAGCTGAGAAGTAGACCACAAACTGAACTGTGACAAATAATACATTCAAATTTCATTTTATCCGTAGGTTGTGTTGGTGATATTTGGGGAGCTAATTATTTATTTGTATGTGTATATATACATATATATATGTGTGTGTGTGTATAATGTATATATATACACACACACAACTTTATATATCTAGATGTACATGTAGATACAGATACAAATATAGACATAGATACACACATACACATACATATACATCAATCACATGAAAAAATTACAAGGGTTAGACTATAGATCATTGGGTCAAGTCCAATATATTTCTATCCAAAAGTAACCAAAATGATAAAAATTGGTTGACAATTCTCAATCTTGTTCAGTCTCTCCACAACCCTCTTGGAGCCCATCAGCTCTCTGGGAGGTAAATTATGCATCTGAAGAAGGCAGATCACCTTGGAGTTTCTTTGCAGGCCCAAACCCTCACAGAAGGTAGGGAACTACTATATCTATGTTTTCAGAGAAACAAGAATTAGGAAAGATATTGGTGGAGAAAGGAAGGGAGAGATGAACTGGGTAAATTCGTTCAGACTAGATACACCCAAGGGACAATACAAATAAATTAAAGTGGGGCAAGGAGGGAGGATGCACAACAGTCATGAGCTCTTAATGGTTAAGAGCTTGGCAAAGATGTATTAATACATTATTACCATATATTTAAGTAAAAGTTATATACACAAGTGCACATACTCTGTTTACTGCTCTCAATATCTAATTAGTATTTCTTTACTGAGAAATATACTGGAGGGACTTCTTTTAAAGGAAAAACATTCTCTTAGACTCAAGCATTTATATAAATTCTTTTAATAATATTTCTTAAATGTAAACAAATATAAAACTAAATAGAGACTCTGCTGTTCATAAAGCTCTTATACAAATTTAACACCAAAGGAAATTTAAAAATTGTGCACAAATAAAAAATATTAATTCACTGTGGTACATGATATTTACTGAGACAAAACTGCTCTTAGAAACCTGAACATACTACTGAGTGGCCAGTGTGCGTTCTTGGCCTTTAACAGGCTTGTATGTGAGTCTTGTGAGGACTCAGCTTTCCCATCACTTTCCTTTTCCAAACTACCAGAAAATCTTCATCTGTATAGTCAGCCATGAAGTAAGAGGTACACCTAATTTATTTTCTCACTAGGCCATGACAATTAAAGTAGTATTGTTGCCAACTTGATTTTGAAAACAGGCTCAAATACATGTCCTAATTATGTGGCAGCTGTTAGTTACCATTCGTCATCCAGACTCCAGGAAATGCTTAAAATTAAATGTAAAAGTAAAACATATTTGTAAAAACTTCACAGCTCTGTCATTAGACTCCACTTTGAAAAACACTGTGCTATTATTACAGTATGTGTAAAAAATATATATGTTTAGACTATTTTGCTAGCTTCTTATTAATAGCTTCTGGTGCTATTACCTGAGTACCTACATTATTTTTTTAAGTTTATTTATTTTTGAGAACGAGAGAGTGGGGGAGGGGCAGAGAGAGAGAGAGAGAGAAAGAAAGAATCCCAGGCAGGCTCCACACTGTCAGCACAGAGCCCAACTCAGGGCTCAAACTCAACATCCTTGAGGTTATGACCTGAGCTGAAATCAAGAGTTGGATGCTCAATGGACTGAGCCACCCAGTTGCCCCTTGAGTACCTACATTATTATGCAGCTCTTGACTCCTGTTTCATTTGGACAATTAAGTCTCTTGTTTGTGGGGACCAAGCCATGGCCCATTCAGGCTCACTGGGAATGGTGCTTTGGAGACCACAAGTCAACCCATTATCACCCTCACATGCATGATTTTTAAATTAAATGAAAGAAGACAGGCACACTCAACAGTCAGGTAACCAAATAACTGAAGCAAGACAATATAAAATTTTAAAGGAGTGGTTCAGTTGTTTTCATTTTAAGTTGCATTGGTGGACGTGGCACAAGAAAGACTGTTTGGGGCTTGTGTGTGACAACTACCTATTTCCCCAACTTCTTTTCTCCTTTCCTTCTTTTTGGGTTCTTTCACCTTTCCTCTTTCTTCCACCTACTTTAGTTTTACTTTTCCCCCAGAGTTCAATGTAATGAGTTTTTCCATAAAGCTAAATATATTTAATGTTTTTTTTCAATATATGAAATTTATTGTCTAATTGGTTTCCATACAACACCCAGTGCTCATCCCAAAAGGTGCCCTCCTCAATACCCATCACCCACCCTCCCCTCCTTCCCACCCCCAACAACCCTCAGTGTTTTTTTTTATTAAGAGATTATGCCTTTATCATTTTTATATGAAAATGTGCTTCCTTTTATAAAATAGAGTTTAGGGGCGCCTGGGTGGCTCAGTCGGTTGAGCATCTGACTTCGGCTGGGGTCATGATCTCCCAGTTCGTGAGTTCGTGAGCGTTGGGCTGTGTCTGAGCTAACAGCTCAGAGCATGGAGACTGCTTCAGATTCTATGGCTCCTTCTCTCTGCCCCACCCCTGCTTGCTGTCTCTCTCTGTCTTTCAAAAATGAATACACATAAATAAAATAAAATAAAATAAAATAAAATAAAATAAAGAAAAAATGTCTTCATTTGGCAAAATAAGAAATTGGCAATCTTGTGTTTTCCACTGAACATTAAAAAAAAAATGTTAACATGTCCAAGATCAGCACCCACTTGTCTGGAAAACAGAGAAAAGAGACAGGGAGAAAGAATGGTATGTGATATATAATAAGTTGACTTAAGTTGAACAAGTTAAGCGCCACAATATACTTTCTACTGGAGCAGGAATATGTAAGACTCATTTGGGAGTCAGGGAAGGCTTCACAGAGGAGGTAACATTTGAGCTGGGGCTTTAAGGATTAGCAGGGGGAGAAAAGGCAGGGCATTCCAAGCAGAATGCATAATGCAAGCAAGAGCACAGAGCACAAAAGAGCACTACGTGTCCAGCAGCTCTGAGTAGCCTGGTGACTGTTGTGTAGAGTTCTCAGGGTTAGAAGATCAGGGGTGAGGCAGGGACTATTTTTTCCTTCTTGGCCCATTTTCCCTATAGCTCATTGCACAGTGCTGGGCACACACTGCAGGGACTCAATATAAATACTTATTGAATTGGGACAGGGTGGTCAAGTACGCTGGGAACCAGGACATCTGGATTCTTTCTCACGCACTCTCAGTGTGACCTTGGCCAAGTCCGTTTTCTCAGGGCCGCTGCTTGCTGCTTAGTAATCAGCCCTGGGTGAGAAAACGGAGGTGGTTGGCCTGAAGTGCCGGGCCTTTCCAGCTCCTGGAATCCCTGATTCCACGCGTCGAGGGCGGGTGGGCGGAGGTTCAGTTCCTCCTCCGCTCCAGCAGGGGGCGCAGGAAGCGACTTCCCGCCGCCCTTCTCTTCCCGGCGGGCGCCAGGCGGATAGCAGGAGTAGCGAGCTGCGAGCGCAGTGGGCGGGACGTTCGGCGGTGGCTCTGTGCTGCGCTGCGCTTACTGGGCTGGGCCGGGCAACGGCGGTGACGGAGACGGCTGTAGAGGCCGAGGCGCTGACCGGGTCGTCAGCCGCCTGCTGTGGTCTCTAGCAGCCTCTTCGCGCGGCCAGCATTCCCCGGGCAGCGTCTGGCCGTGGCGCTCAGCCTGCTAGTGAGCTGCGGTGGGCACACCCTGGCGCGGCGGCGGCCGACAGGTTAGAGTGGGGGAAGGGGCAGGCGCGGGAGCCGCTTGGGGCTAGAGAGGCAGCCCGAAGCCAGGCAGTCTCCAGCCATGTCCGACGAGACGTCGGCCACCACTTCGTATGAGAAGTTTCTAACCCCCGAGGAACCCTTCCCCCTTCTGGGACCCCCTCGCGGGGTGGGCACCTGCCCGAGCGAGGAGCCAGGTTGCCTGGACATCAGCGACTTTGGCTGCCAGCTGTCCTCTTGTCATCGCACCGATCCGCTCCACCGCTTTCACACCAACAGGTACGAACTACCGCTGAGGGCAGGGGCGAACTGCTCACACCCCCTGCCTTAAGCTGGAGAACGCCAGGTCCCTCCCATGCCTGGATGTCCACCTCGGGTCTGCGCTTCCTTTCGTCCCCTCCCCCACCTTCCTCCGACCAGCGCTCATTCCCTGGCTCCTTCCCTCTCCCCCTCCCTATGTTCACCCCTGCCCTCCGATGTTCCTTTCTGCTGACATTTTACTTGCTCTCTTTTCCGATTCTTCTGACCACAGCGACTCCTCCCTTTCCCTTCTTGCCTCATCTGTACCCTGAGAATTCCAAATCCCCACCCACGATTTTAAGATGCATCCCTGTTTCCATCCACCTGAAAAAGTTTAACCCCTTCCATCTCCCATACACTCTAGAGTAGATTTCGGATGACTCAAAGTCAATCTATGGATCTTTTGAAAAATGGCACTTTTAAAACTAGAATCTTCCCTTTCCCGATTTTTAGCCTGTCTCACAGCCCAGTTCCCACCCCCCCCCCATTTTTTTGGTGAAGCTCTAGAAAACCAGGCCGTTCTTTTTTTCCTGTCCTTATGAACTTTTGCTTTACCACTTTAGGCCCTGCCAAAATGTATAAGCTTAGATCTGGAAGGTTCCTTCATGTAGCCTATCCCTTGGTTTGCTCCCCCAGTGGAGGGATGGAGCTACGTTTAGGATGGGCTTGCTTTTACAAATTTATTTAGAGGGTGCATCTCCTAACTGATTTTATTGGAAGGAAGATTGTTCTGGAGAATTCCATCACACAGGCATTTAAGTATTATACCAAATGTGGGGATTTAAAGATGTTGTACACAGAGGTCCAACCTTTAATAAAGGTGGATATTGGGAGATACATACCAAAGCCTGGGAGGGTGTGTGGGGAACAAGGGAGATGGAGAAGGGTTCAGCTATGGAAAATATTGGAGCTGACTTAAGAAGTCTAGTTCTGATTTCTGACCCACAACATGAGCATGAACATCCTTCCACATTTTGATGTCTTTTGCATACCCCATGCTTCTTAAATCAGTCTGCAGATTTACTGAGCACAAAGAGTGTATAAAACATGATTCTTACCTGAAAGAAATGTATAGTCTGGAAACGTGTTACATTTAAAGAGTATCATGAGTATAACACATTTGAAAAGGAAGTGGTAGTAAATTTGTTACGTCTTTTCCAAATCCTCATTACAAAACTGAGGAAACTGAGGCCCAGGAGGAAAGACTGAGTTCAAGGTCATAAAACTGAGTTAGGCAAAGCCAAGATTATTTCTTTGAAGTCAGTGATGAAACTTGGAACAGAACTAATGGCTCAAATGTTATAAATGGTTGTTACAGTTTCTTAGACTAACTCACAGAAGCCTATTTAACCCAAGATGTGATTATAACATGAATGTAATCTGTTTATGAAATCAAGTGTCTTAGGATTGTTTGCACTGGAAAATGATATAAAAGAATACTTCTGCACATATTTGGTATTTAAGTTTTTGCAGCATTGGAGCAAGTCATATATACAGGAAGTGAAATGATTTCAGAATTGGCCTGCTCTGATGATGAGGGAAAGGGAGTGGAGAAAGAGGCTGAGGGTAAGCACTGCCAAAACGGGTGGGGTGATGAGGAGTGAAACCAGGAGAATAATATATTTCTTACAGCTTGTTCTGTTCTTTCGCCTCCTCCCCATTTTTGTTCTTGTGTTTTTCTATTCCTTTTCTTAGAGACGGAAGTAAGGTCAAGGTTGTTTTCCAGAATGGGGCAGTTATGATAGAGGGGGAGGTTATTGTTCAGCCCCAGTTTTTCTAAGTCAGAAATTTTTCCTAGTTACTGCCTACTTTTCAGAAGTCTCCATCTCATACCCTACTTTTCCGAAGGCTTGGAATGGCAGTACTGGTCTAATGTATTTTGCTCTGTACCCTTTCCAACAGAGATTAGGGCAAGCAGAATTAGCAATGTTTACATCCGATGATGTTTCTGCCCTAGGCTACCTTTTATTTATTTATTTATCTATCTATTTATTTATTTATTTATTTATTTCTTAAATCTGTCTTTAGAAAGCCTTCTCTCCATTTATCCTCAACAAAACTGCCAAAGCATTATGTTTTATTTTTTATTTTTTCAATATATGAAATTTATTGTCAAATTGGTTTCCACACAACACCCAGTGCTCATCCCAAAAGGTACCCTCCTCAATACCCATCACCCTCTCTCCCAGCCTCCATCAACCCTCAGTTTGTTCTCAGTTCTCAACAGTCTCTT